TTTGCCCTAAGTATGCTTGTTGTATACGTCTTAGTATGGCCAGTATCCCTGTGGAATATAATACCTTAAACATGAATACCCTAATGGATAAGTGGGTTCTACGCTATGAGTGTTGGTGGCTTACATGCATTCTACCTGCATCAACCAATAGTCAGCAACATTTTAAAACTATGTTTTGTACAGAATATAAATTACATCTGGTGTATAATATAATCAGTATCAAATCGTGACAGATATCCGGATACATGTTTTCGGTCTCTATAACATAATTTATTCCGGTAAATTCTGAAAAAACCTCCAAGAATGAAATGGCTGGTTTATTTCCGGCCGGAGGTAGTATTATTTTTGAAAAGTTTCCAGACGGGCCACCAATGGAAATCTATTGGGTAATAATGCAGCCACGAAACATTTCGTTTCATAAAAAATGGAAGTATCGATTTTCTTTTATGCTGGATTTTGTATGATCCTTCAAGTATAGAACAATAGTATGAAACAATATACCGGATATAAACAGGGAACACGAAACAAACTGTTTCGTAAAGCCAAAATATGCAAATTTTCTGTACTTGGATTATGTATAGTTCTGAAAGTATGTCGACATATTTTGGTTTTACGAAACATGCTTATCTGGAAGATAATTGCCACATTTGCAGTGCAGGTCGCCGCGGGTTTCCACTTTTCGGCGCATCCGGATAAATAAATGACTTTGGGTCACAGCCATTTCACTGTACTCATGAGTTGCAAAACCTCTCTATTTTGCAAAACCTCTCTATTAGAGAGGTTTTGCAACTCATCTGTACATTACCCCCATCCTCACAAAATCGACATTTCTCGTTTTGAGGGTAATGACAATGATGAAGTATTATTGTGTTTTGCAATTTATCCCCATCATTATCCCCACAACAGCATCCGGATAATGCGGTTAGTGGGATTGCAGATGCCCACAAGGTCCACACGAAAAGGCCACGGGGTTGGCAGTTTTTGCAGGACAAATGAGATGATTGCAGACCTTCTAACCAAGGCACTTCCAGTAGGTCAGTTTGCAATCCTTAGAGCTATGATGGATATCCGCAATTTTGCACAAGTTGCTCCAAGTCACTTAGTGGGAGTGTTAGACGGGAGAATATCCGGTTAAACCAGATATGCGTAGTTTACTTATTATGCTCACTTTGTATAGTGCTAAAGTATACATGATCTTATATGAGAGTTTGTATGGAGATGAGTATGTCACTAGATGTCCCACGGACATGGTGATCAGTGATTGGGCAGTGACTTTGAGACAACCTGCAACCCTAGTCCCCAGTGGCTAGCCACTACTGATTGATACCATAGATTCATGAGTGGCTTGTATGTATATTTGTTGGCTAGGATGTGCCGAGTTGATTGTGCAGGCCTTTTGGTAATTCCAGTTTCTTCTCTAAACTGAGCCCTTATTGCTACCCAACCGCTGCTACTCAACATTTCAAGTAGGGCACTATGGCTGCCAACTCCAAGGACCCCAACATCCAACTCTTGGTCTTCAACGGGAACAAGAAAGGCTTCCGCGTGGACCCAGAAGTTCGTACATCAGCTCAAGGCACTGACCACCGCGAAGGTTGGCCTATGGTTGGCTAATCAGACGAGCCGACCTGAGCCGAAGATCAAGTTCGAAGACTGGCGTTCTGGCGAGCCCCCCGTGGTACATGGCGCAAACGAATCTGAGCAACGGAGGTACTCCCACTATCGATCTGAGCAAGTTCAAGAAATCAGAAGTCTGCTCAGCAAGGTCCTCCCCGACGCCTTTACAGCAATTCAAGGACGCCTTTGGTGAAGACCAGCCCATGCACCTACTCTGGGCCGCCGTCGAGAAGCGTTTTGAGGAGTCGAACGTCAACACGGTTAGACCTTGGTCGGCCATTTGATCTCGACATCGAATAACGATTTTCCTAACCTGGAAGTCTTATTTTGCGACCTCAAGTCTGCCCGGAACACTATCTACGTCCACACTCAGAAGTACTTGGGTATTGATATGATCAGTGAGGATCTGATTGTGGCATTGGTTTTGGGTGTTTTGCCCAATGAGTACTTTGGTGCTCAAATCTCATTCGAGGAGAAGGGGTTTAACCTCGTCGACGTGGAGGCAAAACTCATTGGGATTTTTGGGACAAAGTCCAAGAAGGTCATTATGGGCATGGGTAGCCAATCAAACAGCATCTACCGTGGGTATGGCCAATCCAAGGGTAACCAAGCTGTGAATTTTGTCCAATCGGGGGACAAAAAGCGCAAGCACGGTAATGGACCCACTGTGGGAAACGATGTTTCGGTTCGTGGGCAGTGCTTCTACTGTTTTGGCCACTACAATGTCGGTGGCCAGCCTCACGTGAAGTCGGAATGTCCTAAACGAAAGGAGGATTTTGGGCGTAAGGAGTTTAGGTCTAACATCGCCCCAAAGCTCAATTCGAAGAGGCTTAAGGTGGGTGGTACCAAAACCCCTTGTGGTATTGTGGAGTATGGAAGCGGCCAACCTACACCTGCCCTAAACGGCCCAAATGAGGATCATTGGGTGCAAGAGTACGTTGTTGAAGATCGAAATGATTTTCTTGATCTTGGCTCTGCTGGCGACATTGCCGCGAACAATATCCTCTCTGTGGTTGGAATGTCCAGTTCCATGAAGCAGCTCAGCGTCCAATTGGATCAAAAGTTGAGAGATTATTATGGGTTTTTATTGGCTAATCGCAATTTATCTGATAGTGATTGGGCACTGGACAGTGGTTGCGGTCACCACCTAACCGGCAGTGTAGCCTGGTTTAACAAGATAAATCCTAATACAGGTCTTGTTTTTAAGTTTGGGCAAGGATCTAAGCTACACAGCTCTCACCTTGGTTCCGTTGTTGCGTGGTTCGACACCCCTAGTGGAATTCGTCAATATACGAATCGCGAACTGTTGAGGTGTATTTACACTGTTAAACCAAATGTTTTATATTTATGTACAGTTTGTATGGTTTCATACTGAAAATAGTTACTAGTAAAATGTTAATACTACTATTTTCACAAAACATTGAAAAAGTAGCACTCGTTCCAGGAGCGCAAGCCAACATACTAAGTGAGAATGTGATCAAGAGGGATGTTTACCAGCTTGTGGTTGGAAGTGCGCTGCGTCTACACTACGTCATGGGTGATGCAGCGTTGGCACCAGTGGCCGCCATCAAGATGCTGCCCCAACTCAACGTGCAGACGATACTCATGTGTTTCTACCACTGCGTGGCTGCCGTGAACAAACGGCTAGGGGCAGTTCCCACGCGTGTGAAAGCTTTGGTTGCGTTTCACATGTTCAACATGCATTACAGTCGAAGTCCCACCGAATGTCGGATGCACTGGGCCTCAGCAACGGAAGCGTGGGGGGCGTGTGACATCCTTGTGGCAAAGGACTTCGTCCGCTATTTCGCAGAACAGTGGATGACCGGGGACTTTTGCAAATGGCAGGTGTACCATACACCTAGTGGTTTTCCCACCACGAATAACCAACCAACCCATGCGAGCTCTTTAACAAGCACTTCAAAGGTACTTTTGCTGCGTTTACAATGCGAACTAAACCACGTTTAGGAACGTATACGCAGCGCTCACTGCATGGGTTGTGCGCTACGTTTAAGTTGCTGGGCTCTATCGCAGAGGAGTATTCAACGGTCAAGATTACCACCTTCACGTCAGAAGTGTCTCCAAGCGAAAAGTTGGTCCGGCGATCCAGGCGCCTTATCACATACAACCTCCTCGAAGTTGTCCCTCCCAATCCAGATCTTGAACATGTTCCGGGGACTGTCCGTATCGTCGGCATCGTTCCAAGGCATGCCATCTCCCAGGCGCGTGAGAGTGATGCGGTTGGTACCACTGCCGCCATGGAAGCAGGCCGCCCCACGGAGACATCACCTGAGCATTTGGAGGTGGCCAACGCTTACTACTACAACGAGAACACCAACAACATACGTCACGAATCCATTTGCGCAGGCAACGCGCAGCCCTCGTACGGTTGGCAAGTCTGCACTGTCCCTGGGAATTTGGCGTGCGAATGCAACATCTTCAACAAAAAGAAGTACTGTTGTCATCTACTCTTCGAGCTGCAAGTCCAAGGACGAGATGTCAATTGCGCACCATTGCCTCCAACAGCATTTGTCCGTAACCAAGCCCATCGAACCGAGGCAGCGTCGCGTTTCAGAGGTCAACGCCGACGTCGTGCAGTAGTGCCTGCGGGTAGAAATGTTCGTGGCCGACGAACGATTGGTCCTCCTCTTTCATTTAGATAATTGGATATCATACAGTATGCTACATCGTCAGGTGTCCCTCCGTGCCTAACGCAAACTCTGCTGGTTCATTCATCAACATATATACAATGGCCGATTTGCTCCAGTAAGTGAGACGCCCCGCACGTTCGACCTCACATCATCTTGTGTCGAAGAAGTGATAAAGATAGAAATTGTACAAAAAATAAAATCTTTGAATAAAAACCCCGACTCGAACTCGGGACCTTTGGGGCATGATCCTGACGCGCTACCACTGAGCTAATGTTACATTACAATATACTATGAAATATATTCCTTAATAAATTCGATAGTGTACAAGTCAGTTCCCGATAATTCATGCCGCGGACCAAGCCATGAAGTCATGGTCAAGGCATGCTTCATTGGAGCACACGAAGCTAAAGAGCGAACCAACGAACATTTCAGTACAGCACTATCAAGTCTAATGAGTTAATCGTCAACCCTATTTGCCCTACGTGTACTAGTCTTCATCCTTGTGGACGAGGTCGGCCCTCGCAGTGCTGCATACAACCTTATGCTGTGGTCCCTATGCATTGGCTTTCCGCGTCAAGCATCCCTTGAAGCGCGACATTTGGAGGTGACTGGTGGCTAGGACCTGGCGCAGCGAACGATGTCAACAGAGTTCGACGCATGTATGATCCGACATGCCTCAATCTCAATCGTCATCGTTCGCTGCGCAAATAGCGCGAACTCTACACACAGTCGTCACCAAACGTCGCAAGTTACCTCTACAACACATAATCAGAGACTGGCATTGATGATTATATAGATGAAAGTTCTGAATGGTACCTCTTCCCGGTCGGAATCCAAAACGATGCTACTGGATGGGCTCGAACAGTATTCACAGCTAACATGCATTTGCACCATCTTGTGGTTATAGTGGCGACAAAGATCGCGCATGTGGAGCAGTGTCCATGGAGATCGTGCCATGGTGGATCCATCCTTGGAGGACCCCCTTGGACACGGCTCAACATGCGCGATCGATATCGACCATCATTGCCACGTCACCTCGCTGCGCGCGCGCAACAGGTAGTTGGAGGGCCTCCAAAGGCGTCAAATCGGAGGCAGCATTAGATGAGTGTGCATGGGGATCAAGAATCGTACCAGTCCCGAATCGGTGGAAGTTGAAAATGATGAAAAGGGAGCGTGCAACGGTTGGGAAAATTGGGATTTACCTCGGCCCACGTAATTTAAACATTTTGGAGACTTTCCCTTTGTGGGGGGCTCTTTCACGACATCGATTTTGCCTTACCTTGCCGTTTCGGCTTCACGATACGCTTGATATCACATATCCGGAATATTGTAGCATTTTATTCTAGATTCATGTATAATAGAGGTTTTGTTCATTTAGTGACCGGGTTGTAGCCCAACCCGGGGAAGGATGTTGGTCAACGCCCCTTCCCACGTTTTCCACCGGATACTAAGGGTGAGATGAATAAGCAAGAATTAATTAGAAGAGCGTAGTCCCCGCTCAATTGATGTGTCCAATTGAGGTCCATGGGATTTACCTGTCGAATCCTATGTAATGCCTACATTCGGATAACCTTTTTAATGTAATGTATGCGACAAAATGTATGACTTCGAAAAACCTTCATAAAATAATGCTTGCGAAAGGATGCCGTGTCTTC